ACTGTTTCTTTGACCCCCCCCCCCCCACCCCCAAAGCGCTCTCAGCCCAGAAACGTTCAAATGGGCTGAAATTTGGAGCATATGTTGGGGCTGATGTGAGAAGGCTGTGGTAAAATTTTCAGCTCGATACACTGAAGTTTAACAGAGACATGAACCAAACAAGGGTCAAAAATAGCTCATTTTCGTTCCAAGATTTTTCGGTTCGGGCTTGGTCAATATATTTAAATTTTTTTTTTGTTTGAAAGAGCATCTTAGGGTGCAGGGCACTATAGAGTCCTTTTTTTTAAATTCGTACTTTTTTAGCGGAAAAAAGGAATTACAAGTTCAATGACTAAAAAAACGCGCCAAAAATTGATGTCTGTGTTGGTATACATAGTAAAAAACAAAGCTTAATTAAAAAAAGGACTCTATATTGCCCTGCATCTCGACGCGCTCTTGCAAACAAAAAAAATTTTAATATATTGAACGACACTGGACCGAGAAATCTTGGAACGAAAATCAAAAAATCATAAACCGAGAAAAAATGAAAACCATTTTTCGTTTTTTTCAAAATAAGCATATTTTTCAAGAAGAGGTTAACGAAAATCATCGAAAATTTTGACCAAAACAGAGGTGCCGAAGAAAAAACAATATCATTTCTGAAAGATCTGAAGATGGGCTATCTCCCCATGCATTTATCTCAATTTCGAAAAATTTGACGAAAATTGACTTTTTTTGAGGGGGGGGCTTAACAATAATAACAAGAAAAAAATATTGCTCTTTTGTTCATAGGAGAATATCAATGGATTACTCTGCGAAACCACTTTTATCCAATAAAAAATCAGCAACAATCAGTAAAAACATTGTTAACCAACGGAGAACTGTAAAACGTTCTGTTCGGAATTGTTTTGGATTACGAAATCGTTGTACAAACAAGTCTGATCATATATCAATGGAAAGTATTGTCGATAATCAATATATGAAAACTAATAATATTCATATTGACCCTAATGAAGATACTTTATCAATTATTTGGCTAGACCCTGATATTGATGCTTCAGAATATCAAGAGAAATGCAACCCTCTAACAAAATCGTTAAAGATTTTTACCGAACATAAAAGCTGTGAAGCATACATTCAACACTTGGCAGTTGATGAAGAATTTATTTTATTTGTAGCCATTAGTATCAGCCATACCATCATACCATTTGTACACAATTTAACACAACTCATTGTAATTTATGTTTATTCAAGTGATCAACGTGACAAAGAAAACATATATCCAATGTATTGGAAGGTAAGAGAAAGCGTGTAAGTTATTCATTAAGCAGTTTCACACATAAACAAGAGCCATATAGTTTTTCTCTCACAAATTTGAGTTCATTATTCCTTTAGTTTAATTCTTTCGTAATATTTATAATAATGTAAAAGACATTTGTTATAGATCATATGCATAGACAAATCATTTATATTTGAATGAAATAATCTTGAACAGTTTTTCATTTGAGAAACATTTCGATCGATAGGAGCTAAACTCTTTTAGTCAACTGTAATAAGTAATAAAAGATTTCTCAAATGATTTTGTTCTTGAAATATCGTATTTAGTTGATTTTTCAATTTCTCACAAAGTTCTCTATGGTTGTAGTTTATTATGAATGCAGTAATTTTATTTATAAAAATCCGTATTCTAATATATATATATATACGAAAACTGTACGGTGGTTCTAAACTAAGAATATAGCAGTTAAAGAAAAGAACACTTTCACAGTATAAAGATTACAGCAATCATAATCAACTATATACGATGATGTGAAGAGTCCCACGATCTCGCTTGAGTATGTTAACAAACTTATTTTTCTATTTTTATAGCAAACATATTGTAATTGTATTTTGTCGTGTAGTCAACATCCATATAGAAGAGATTCAACAGGTATTAAAATACTTTCTGACGTTTTCAGACGACAATGTACTGTTCATAATATGTTTGCTATTAAAATGATAACATCTTACTAAGAATTTTTTGGAAAAATTCATTATTTTTTCCAATGTCAAGTTATAAATATAGAAAATCATTAATTATTTGCATTGAGATAGTGTATCTTTACAAAAAAATGAATCATTGACAATATATATTAGGCTAATAGGTTTTCGAAACAAAACAAAAACAATTTTACCAAGTCTTCAAAATACAACAATTTTATATTCGAAAAAAAATTCTTATAGGTACAGCACAAGTATATTACGAAGATGGATGATTTACTTCCCATATTTCGCTATGAACAAAGTCAATATCACGAACATTTGGATAAACGCCAATTTTTAAATATTTATAAATCAGAAGGATATATACGTGCTATAAATGAAATAGAATCAAATGATCGTTTCATATGGATGTATAATTTTGCTATAATATTCTTTCATATGGATCCAGTATTATCCACTGTGACAGCAAAACATGAAAAAGAAGAACTTATTATAAAACTTCGAACACTCTACAGTTATGATGTTGAAGCTTTGAACGAGATTGATGACTTTAACAAGGATTATAATACAGAAAATCCAATCAAATCTTATGATAAAATGAAATCGATACGAGAAATACTAAATAAAGCTTTACGTCAAAAAGATTTCGAACTCATAGGTCTTTTTCGATTTTTCATATTTGATCTATTTGAACAGATCAAATCGAATTATAGAATGATACATAGAAATGAAAGAACAGATGATTCATACCAAACGTTTTATGGTACTAAATTGATTCCATTTAATCAAATTGAAGAAATAATTAATTCAAAAAGACATTTAGTATCAATCAATGTCTTTTGGTCAATGAGTCTAGATGACAACAATACAACAGCCCATTTAACTCAGCCTGTTACTCTTATGTTATCAAGAGATTTCAGAATAGTTCATTTCACAGTAAAAATGCTTCAAAGCTTTCGCATGGAACACGAAAACTTTCAAGCAATCGATAATCTTTACTATTACCAGAGTGAAAATGAAATTTTGTTTCCACCAGGTACAATATTCAAAATTGTACATCGTCCCATATCGTATCAGGACGAAAACTTATTTTATATCCAATTAGAGCTAGCACCATTTAATATTATACCTGAATTCGATGAGATTGTTCAATTTTGGATTAACAATGAAAATTTAAAAACAAATCAAATCTCACTTGGTCTTATGATGATTCAAACCGGTCAATTAAATGAAGCTAAAAAATATTATGAATCATTAATTAAATATTTGCCAGATAATCATCCATTGGAAAAATATTGTAAATATGGTTTGGCCAATCTAGCACAAAAGAAAGGTGAAATCGATGACGCAGAAAAATATTATAATGAAGCATTTGAAAATCAAGTTGATACTTTACTAAGAGCACGAGTCACATGTGCATTAGCCAATATCTACTTTTCAAAGAATGATAAATCGAAAGCACTTGAATACTACAAATTAGCATTATCCATGTTTAATAAAAATCATAAAGACTCCATGCTAGATATTATTGAATGTTATACAGGTATTGGAAAATATTATCAAACTTCTCAAATAGATAAGGATTATGAAAAAGCATTAAAATCCTTTACAAATGCAATAAATGAGTTAGACAATTGGATTTCGAAAAATATACGTAAACAATGGAGATATGTACCGTTCATAATTATTCCACTGCTGAAAAATATCGGTGAAATTTTTCGTCTTAAACATGAGTTCAACAAAGCGTATGCATGTCAATATACAATACTATTGATGTGTAAAAAGTTTCCCATATCGAATGATTCTCAAGTGGGCTCTATATATGAAGAAATTGGTAGAATTTATCAAGAAGACAAAAAATTGAAATTGGCTCTAACATTCTACCATAAAGCTGCTGATATATATTATTGGTGTTATTCTCAAACAAGCAACCACAATATTAATATTCAGAAGTTAATTCAAGATAATATTAATCAAATGAAGTAAGTCAAATTAATATGGATGCCAAATAGGAAATGTGAGAGAATAAAACTATGTTAACAATGGACTAAATTGAATGATTTTTCATACGAACATCCGGTAGGAAAAAATATTTGCTTTTAATCTATGCAAATCGAATCTTATTAGATTGATCTGTTCTGAAATTCTAAACATTTCTTAGAGATCTTCGATGTCGGTCACATCATTCAAAATTGATCATGTTTAGAATGATTAGTCACATCAAGTAAAGTAGTGATGCATGATGATTTTTGTTTCGAAATTGAGGAATTTGATATTAATAAATGAACATTGGAGCTCTTCGAAAAACGCTTAGAATTTCAAAACGCACGAATCTATTAAAATTTGATTTGTGTTGACTGAAATCGAACATTTTTTCTTATCAAATGATTCTATGACAAGCTTGAACTCAATAAAATCGACTTGAAGTTTATTTAGAAAAATCTGAAGTGAAAAGTCACTTAAACTGTCGACAAAGTATCTATCACGCGACCCTTTATTGATATCTATTTCCAAGATAGTAAAAAAATATTCACCTTTTGTTACTGCTACTAGAATGAGAAACACTAACTATAGTTTTCTTTATATTCTCATAGGATGATCTTGCATTATTTTATCATTTGAGATTTTCTTTATTACTTTCAAGCGTTTTTTCAAATTCGGCCAAACACGATTTTTAACGTGTGCTGAAATATTTTGTGAGAAAGTTGATCAGCTATTGAACAGTAAATGACAACTCTGTTGGCATTTTTCTTATCGAGCTCAAAATAGTGTCACTAATGTCAAAAAAACCATGAGAAAAAACGCTTTTAGGCTCTTCCTACTTTTGAATCTTTTAGATTTCAGTATATGTTGATGTTTTTTTTTCTTAATTTTCGAACAATGGATATTTCCTAGTTTCTAAAATAATTTTAATTAAAAACATTTTAATTTATACTTATGTCAAACTATTTTGTGAATTCAAATTTATGTGTTTCTCAGTTCAAGTAGTCTTCGAACTCAAAGTCTGTAACAATCAAATTCTCGCTTTTGTAATGTGACTTTGTAAGCCCTATCGTCGAGTATAAAAGGTAAGTCGCTCGATTTCACAAATCGTAACAGACATTTTCATTTGATTTTAACGTCGGTTAAACGTTTTGCTTTGGTTTATATTGATTTTGTGGAGCTCACAATAAAATTTAGTAAAGATAAGCTTTTAGCCAAAAATTTTTCGTTCTTCACGCCTTCTTTTCACGCAGTCTTAATGATAGATATCGATCGTTTTTAAATAATTTTATTGAAATGTATAAATACATATTTATATGTATAAATACTTTGGAATATCTTTTTGATATTTACCTTAAAATGCAAGCTGTGCAGTCCAAAAATCGAAACAATGGAGTATAGTCGTGTTTCAGAAAAAATAAAATTAGTTGGTAGGTCTGAAAAACCAAACGAAGTCCAAAAACTCAAAATCCACTCTACTCTGCTTCGTTAGAACCGAAATATTGTGTGAATTTCATATTTGAGTCCCATTTACAGCTGCACTGAGAAACTTTTTTCCTCAATTGATTATGTGTATTTGAATTCGATTTTGAATTCAATCTTATATTACATTTCTTCAGATTTACATTCAATTTTTTAGTTTCAATATTGTGTCGACTTGAGTTTGAAATTAATTTCTGATATACAAAAATCTTATGAGTCCGGATTGACTGTTGTAAATTGAAACTACTTTCGAATTTGAATTGATTCATTGAATGCATTTCATGTATAATGAGAAAAAGTTAGCATTTCACTGATTCACTAACAAACTTGCTAAACACTTCGTCATCTCTTCATCTAGGACGAAGCAGATCTATTCGGAAATTTCAAATTATTGATCTAAATCTCAAGTTGATTTTCAAAATCAGAACAAATTTGAAATCCAAAACTGAACAAAACCATGTATTTCATATATGAAAATTGATGTTTGTTTTTAGTTAATCATAATGATAGAAACCTTGTTGATAACATATCATGTTTGAATTTTTGAATTTTTCAATGGCATTTAAAACATAAAATGCTGTGCAAGTACAGGATTCTTGACAAGTAGGTTTTCAAAACGACCCCTGGTCCATTTTTCTGAAAGTCTGGACACGTGAGACTATTGATTTTTATTCTTATATTAATACAGATCTGCGATGAATTGACAAACGAATTAGCAGCACCTTCAAACTGTATCTGACAGAAGTTTTATAAGTGCTGAATCTCTGTTTTTAGACATCATCGAAAAGTGTACTCGGTCTTATTTTAAAAGTCTGTACTATACTAAATAACGATGACACTAAGTTTTGTTCATTTGTGAATCCATTTACATGTTTGATTTCAAATTTTTCCGATTTTGTACTTCGACTTAACATATGAACCATTCTGTTCAAGTTTCTGGATTAATACTTAACTTCGCTTTAAAAGTCTATGATATGAAAATGTGGAGCTTTAAACTTCTGTCTAGTGCTATATTTATCCTCGATTTCTAAGTATGTCATTCAATAGAAAATAAAAATCTATAATACATTGACAACTCATATTCGATTCGTTAAGTATGAAATACTAAGGATTACTCGATTTTCAAATATTGTTTGTGTCATGAGCTAATTAGGAAATTCAAATAACTTCAAATTAAGTAGCAATATTAGTCGTTCTATTGCTTTTCTATTGAATAATATGCGAACGACGTGTACAAACTTTGAAAAATGAATTCAATACTAAAGTTATCTAAAAATATGTGGATCTTCTTTTTTGTCACAAAGATCCATAAAAAATAAATTTCTCAACAAGCTCTATCTAAATAGAATGCAAATATTCTTCGAAAGTGTGCTATATACAATATCCCTAAGTTCTCTTCTATATTCGTAGTGCCATTACTCACAACAAGATAAGTTGCCAAATGACATCTAGTTGTAGTTTTTGCATAGATTTCGCCAAATAATATTTTCGAAAATCAGATTATTCCAGTGAAAATTATTATTATGGTGTCATTCAATGAGGATCTCAATTCTAAAAAAAACAACTCAACTACTCATTGCAACATTGAGAAACGATTGACTTCTCTATTGAATAAACTCAAACCTACTTATCTTAAAAATATATGAATTTGAAACACGAAAAAACAAAAAATCTTAGCCAGCTACTTCTGCCGAGCTCATTCATTTTGAAATGCGCTTTCATTTTCTTTTTATTATAGAAAACAAAACACAGCATTTATCGAAGAAGAATACAAGTACGAACCAGCACAGTTAGAAGATTTTCTACCTCGACAATTACTAGATAGGTTATTACAACAAATTGATCAAAAGCCCTTACAACAGAACAATTTATCACGAATTTATACGAAGCTATCAGGACAAGAAAAATCACCACAAGCCGATGAGAAATCAGCACAACAGAACGAATTAACAACCATCGATGAAAACTTAGAACAACATGATAAAGTATCAGAATTCGACGAGAAGCCAGCACAACATGTCAAACCACCACAAGTCGATGAGAAATCAGCAGAACATGATGAATTAATACCAATCGATGAGAAGCCTGCAGAGCACGACGAATTATCAACAATCGGTGAAAACTTAGAACAACAGCATAAATCAGGATTCGATGAGAAGTCAGCACAATATGCTATATTACCGCAACTCGATGAGAAACCAGTGAAACGCGATGAATTACAATTAAACAATGAGAAGTCTGCAAACCACAGCAAATTTCAGCCGCCCGGAGGTAATGTATAACACGTCAAAAGAGTGTGGATGTGGGTACAGGTGTAAAATTTCAATTTATCTACAAACATCTCTACCCATACCCTTGGTCTATCACTCACGTATAACAGATAAAAATACAAATGAAAATTTAAAATTGATTTTTTAAATACTTTATTTTTTCTTAAGTTCATCATTTTGAACAATTTTGCTGTTGAGAACGCTTGTATATTTTGATAGATTTGTTAAAATTTCAGTTTTAGTGTGTCCTGAAAAATCTGCTGAGGTCCTACATTTACCTCAGAAGCGCAAAGGTAATTATACCATTACCCCATATGGGGTAAATGTATACTTATATTTGTTTAAAGGCCTTTTTTAAGCTTTATAAAATAAAGAGAGTCCTAAGATATAGCCTAAAAATTAGTTTAGAATGATACAGAATATTTTGAGCTATCGATTGGTAAAAAAAACCAGAAGAAAGAACAAGTATCAATCGCTCAAAAGTGAAGTTTCAAAAAATATGTCAAAGAGGACTGAGATTATACATTTCCTCCAGCAACATCAGTGTGATTATACATTTGATCCAAACAGGGTAAATGTAGGGTATGGGTGTAAGTGTATGTAAATATCAGCTATTGCTATACACCCACATCCACTGATTTACTTTATACATTGGCCCCTTCTTGCTCTATTACTTTTTCTTAATGAAAAACATGATATCAGAGCTCTGAATAATAGTTATTTATCAGAACATTCCTTATCATTTGACTAAGAAGGAGAAAACCAACTATGTATCATACAGAAAATGATAGTACTCAACGCAAAAATGAGACATATATGTAAAAAATTCCAATTATTTTTCGTTGTCAATATAGCTGTTTAAAGTAAACCAATTGGTTAGTTATATTTCGTATATTGTAGGATCTAGTATTGCCATAAACAGCAAAATATTTGTAAGTATAATCCAAAATTGAATTTTCCATGATTTTATGTATGTCGACGCACGTTTCTGCCTTTAGAATATAATCACTCTTACTGACATAGAAGTTTTCACAGCAACAATTTACGCAGAAGCAAGAGGTGAGCCTTATGAAGCACAAAAATGGGTTGCTTGGGTAATCAAGAATCGAGCTCTATTGAACAGGTCGTATTGGGGTGGAAACACCATCAAAGGTGTATGTTTACAACCTGGTCAATTCGAATGTTGGAATGGTAGATCTAACATTGAAATTAATGAACCGGAAGCATATGCACGAATCTCCCAATTGGCCAATGATATTTTTTATGCAAATCAGTCTCAGGATCCGACTGGAGGAGCAAATCATTACAATTACCCAGCCAAAGAAGGTAATCCACCGTGGAGTCAAAACTGTCTTCAATTACGAAAAATTGGGAATTATCAGTTCTATAAAAGTCTTTAATGCTGTCATCATCAAAAACAATAAATTGAACAATCACACACTAATTTAACTTTTCTTTTATGAAATTATTGTGCACATAAAATTTGTCTCTTATTTTGAATACATTTGCATGAATCTAGAACTCCAAATCATGATGAATAATAATTTATTGTAATTTCCACTACCAGAAAATATTGTGTCCGCTGTACATTCCATTAAATAGTTATCAATGAGTGTGTCTAAATCGATAGTCATTGCTAAGTTTTGAATGATATATTCATTTGCATTAGGAACGTTAAGACATAAAAAGTAGAGATTAGAAATAAGTGTCATTTAATTCATCAAAATAAAGCCCACAAACAGATAAGATAGGAAATCTTGGGTGTGGGTAATTAGTTGAAGTAGAGATCTACACCAAAATCGACACCTCATGTTCACATCCATATCTAACACCCATACCCTCATCTAGAATTAAAAAAATAATACTACTTTTACTCAATTCACCTTCGATGCAAAAGTAATTGCCGATATCTTCTCAATTCATGATTTTCCGTTCAGAAACACCATAGAGAATCCCATTTTTTTTATCTTTAAAGAGCAATGTCTGACCTTCAAAGAAACATGGAAAAATTTTGTTTTTCGGATGAACTTTGAATGAGACGGACGTTCGATAATACATGTCAACAAAAAAAAAGACTTTTACAACTTCTCTGGCCCCTTTTCAAACGTATGTCTCATATCCAGGGTGTAGCAAAACGTATTACGTTCGAAACATTAATAGAACAGATATGGTTAAATATTTATTATTATTTTTATGTTATATTGTTGTATTTTAACTTATCGCTATTTATTTATCAATTCTATATAGCATATATCTTATATGCTATATGTAAATCGTATTTTTATATGTTGTATATATTTCATATGTAATATTGCATTTTATAAGTTGTCAATATAGTTGTGAATGACAAAATAAATAATCAACAATAAACAAATAAAAATAACAATTTATATATTTGATCTAATTAATAATGAACCAAGGAAGAGAAAAATATTTAAAAATGAAGAATAATACAATCTTCCTAAAACGTAACAAAAAGTAGCAAAGTCAACTCTCAGGAGTTGCTTTAAATATTTTTTGGGTGAAACAAGCAAATAAGAGTCTTCTGTTTTGGTAGAGAAATTCGATGCAAATTCTACCACTAATTCATATATCAATAGAAGATTTATCAAAGCGTGAAGAGTAATCTTATATAGCTTTTACTTCACACATTTAGAATATAACATAATCAGAGAACTTCAGCCTTGTCGTGTGTTTATGGAAAACGAAATGTATTTATCTGAAAAGTTACTATAATTAATTGCTATTTTTGTTCCAATAAGTTTTCATTGTTCGGATATTAGATTAGGATGACATTTTGCATTTTTACCCAGAGCAAAAGAATATTTTCATTACTTTCACGCCCATCTCATTTATTTTCTCGAAGATGAAGATTCTCCATTCAATCTTACAATGAAATATACGCATACATAGTGTCTGCTCTTTCAATCCTGTAGTGTTTTTTCATTTATCTTCAACCTGAATTACTGATATTGACATAAGAATCCTGGATGATGAGTAAGCAATTTGTGTCTGTAAAGAATATTATTAATAGAAGAACTGAAATATAAATTGGTTTCACTTATATTGATTTACAAAGCAATATAGTATAATGTCGATTCGTTGCTTTCCATTCGTTTTACTACTGATAAATGCCCTATTCGCTTTTGTCAATCCACAAACTGCAGTTCGATCTTATATTATTCAAAAAGACTTGTTAAATCCAATTAAGGCTGGCGAATTTTCAATTTTTGATCCCATGGAAAAGCAACTTCAATATCGTATTGAGTCTCGACTTACTTTTATGCAGAGCGTGGAACTTGTTGCTTATCCATCGAAACAAGTCGTCGGTAAACTAAACAAGAAACTTAAATTGTTTCTCTATAAAGGAACAATATCCATTCTCGATCCTCGTTCCAATCAATGGATAGAAGGAACAATTCACGAGAAGTTGAATGGAAAATATATAATTGAATGGAATAGACAACGCTTGGTGATGGGACACTCTAAAAGTCTTAGAAAAAGGGAATTTCGTGATGAAAGTGACAGCACTCTTTTGGCTGAGTATGAGATGAAACTCATTTCATTGGTTTGGGCAAACAAATATGAATTAAAGGTATTTTCCGATAAGTTTCCTGATGCAATCTATCTTTTGGCAATCGTTGCTAGAGACCATAGCGTAACACAGGCATCTAAAAACGGAAATGGCTAAAAAACAAGACAAATACAATTAATGAATTTTCATAAATTTTGAAATAAATATACAAACTTCAATTTTTGCTTTGTTTTGATTTAAATCTCCCGATTAAGTTAGTAGTTAATATAATGACAAATAAACTGGTGCTCTCTAATCAGTAATCCTATTAATTCGCTCAGTCATACATTAGTTGGTTTCTGCTTCTCGAGTGTTGTTTTTTTTTCATTTGTCGGTCTTTATTTTTTTTTGGCAAAAAATATATATCTAAAGCTAGTTTTTTATGAGCTATCCAATACACCTATTTTTCCCAGAGAAAGATTCCGTTTTATAATAATTTTACGTAACGCGATGACGTTTTTGTATTTTTTATATCTATGAAAAAAAATATTTCCATATAGTAGTTTCTTAGGCAAAAACCACTATAAACTATATTTAATGTATTCTTTATTAATTACTAACAGATTGCCATAACAGTATAGCTGATTGATTTAATAAGTTGATTGCGTTCAGTTAGAATGAAATTATCAATCTAAATTATCTATCATTTCTATGATATATGCGTAAGGTGGGGAGCACTCAAAATTTCAGTTAACGCTTTTTCTCCACGATTTATATATGGTTGGATAGAGCTCAAAAAACTGTGTAAGTAAATGTACTTTTAAAGTAATTTTCCCATTTTATAAGGTTTAAAAACCTTA